TCCCATGAGTAGCTCACAAGAGCACAGTTCCTGACCTGCAGTGGTAGAGGAGTAGCAGGTTCAAGAACATCCTCAGGTTCCTGTTCTTTAAAGCTCTGCTGGGCTATCTGAACTGCTCCCAGAGTTTAGCATAGAAGGAGAGAAAGAAGATCCCAGAACTAGAATACAGTCTTTGAAACCACCGAGGATGGGTCACTTCAGATACTAACTCCTTAGTGACCCTTCTACATGTTAGGCAAGATTTCAAGATAATTAGACTGGCGCTACAGAAGTTTGATGCTACCACCTACCAACGCATCTTGATGAAAATTGCTTCCTCTTTCACTTCCTTCACCCCCAGTTCTGTGTCTCACACAAAGTCTGAAGAACTGACTCTTCTGTACATGATCACGACTGCAAGAATGCATAGATACAGCTCATTAGACTTCTGCCTGTGACTCAGCAGACAGATGGCATCTTGTCACTTTTTAACTCCTGGCCATATTTTCCACAGTCCACTCCAGCAGTCCAAGCTCAACCAAGCTGTCATCATTAGCAGTCTCCTGAATAGAAACAAGCTTTCCAAGCTTAAGAACACAGGATTTCCTGAACCATATCAGAGCAGGCACTCATCAAGACAATAACTAAAAGCAAAAGCATTTGAAACAAAACAAAAAAGCCACACAGGAGTCTATTATTCTTTAGGTATGCAATAGCTTTTCCAGAAAGTTTCTTTCTAGCCCCAAATGTGTGCATTTCCTCCTAGTAAGATGGTTCATGACCTCTACACAAACCTTCTATACATCACTGACAGTCCATGTAGAGAAGCAGGTACTTTAAACATGGTAATGGAGGTAGAAGACCCCTAAAACATAAGTGTGCTTTATGCTATATGATAACCTACTCAAGTAACAAGTCTTTGAACATCTGCAGTATGTCTACATGCAGATTAGTTAGCAGTTAGCTACCAAGTTCTACGACAAAAACAATTCTTTCAAATGTATCTAATCCTAATATTTCCCAGGAAAACAAGGGCAAAGGATGGGGACAACTGCCTTCAGCATCTGTATTATTGAGACCCCACATTTGCCTCTCAGTACTTTCTTGCAAATAGACATCAGCACCCCTACAGAAGGTATATACATTTAAGTAAATTAAAAGACTCCTCATTACAGGCTTGCCCAGTTTAGGACAGAGAAGGACTTTGGGAGACAAAACGTAGCTTTTAGATCTGTCAGTGATATCTAAACAACATGATATTAAAGCCCATGCAGCCTGATTTTGAGAAGGAAGGACAGATAAAGTTGTCTTGTCTCATGTGGTTGTAAGTGAACTGGGGTACAAACAGGATGGAATAGGTAGGCAAAGCAAGCAAGAAAAGGAGACAAGGAATGGTTAAGTGTAGAATGAAGTAGGAGCAGCCAAGAAAGGCAGGCAGACAAGCGCAGAGAGGGAAAGAAAAATCCTATATGAAGCTAACAAGAGAAAACTTAGGGTTACCTGAGTAAGCAAGCTAGAACTGACAACAAGCCCAGATGGGAAGACCTCACACAGCCTGAAAAGCTAGATAAAAAAGAAAGATGACTAGAAAGGCACTTGAAACTGAAGGTGTAAGCATAAAAAGACAAGAAACCAAAAGCCCTGACCGCTTAGGACATAAACATTTGTATCTCTAAATGGGACTCCAGATTTTGGCTCACTGCTTGTTAGTTGTCAGGTTGTATTTACTGAACACATTCCACATCTGCAGGCAAAGGTAGCTTTCAGTGAGCTGTACAGGTTGATAGAGCTGGCAACTACTGCTAACACTACATGTTAGCATCAGCATCTCCTGTGCATGGACCTATGTATGCTTAGTATGGTTGGTGCAGCCTAACTGCACTGTTCCTTCTTCCTTCAAGAAATCAAAAAAAAAAATCCAACAAAAGAAAAAAAAAAGAGCAAGAGAAAGAAGAAAAGCCACAAGATTTATTTTAATCAGAACAAGGAAGCCACACTGATATAGCACCACTGGCCTCTAAGCTTTGTCTCAACTGCTCAGGAAACTGGAAGACATCCTTAGTTAAATGAATTTACACACTCCAAGATACCTTGTCACAGGTACACAACTTTAATGAAATTGCCTGAGCCAGAATTTCTCTAGATGACATTGTACACTAACCTAGGTTCCAATTTGTCAAATATTCTGTAAAAGTTACAAATCCATTTCAGCTATGCTTTTAAGAACAGTATTAACAAAAAAGTTCACTTGATAGGACCTTCCCCCTTCCCGATCACCTCTGTAATTAGAAGGAAAGCTACCTGACCCATTTTCCCCTCAACAGGATGGGGTTAAGTATCCTCTCTTGTCTCAGTCACGTTATGGAAGTTCAAAAACATGTTTTCTTCAGAAATTCTGGTTATGGTGTATCCATCATTCAAGTGCTCAACTGATGTCTTTTTAATCACACTGAGTATTTAATTATCCATATCAAGTGTGGTGAGGAGAAAGAAGTTAGACTACCCTCTCTGGGTCCCACTTTCCATGGCAGCAGATTCTATTGAAGTATTTCAGGATTTAAATTACTGGTTTCAAGTCTTCCTGCTATTATCTTTAACAGAGAAGCCAGAAGAGTGAAGTATACATCAGTACATTGGTTTTCAGGAAAATCTTAGATATATTTAATAGATCTTATGAATCACCCCTTTTATACATGACACTACAGTTTAAGACAGCTTGCCTTGAAGAAACTGAAAGATTTCTCTATTTTAACATGCTCAAAGAGCCCTCTGGTTTGCATGCGACATAAGCCATGTTTCAGATGGACTTTCCAAATGGATGAATTCAGCTTTTAGACTATAAACATTGAAAGGCTGAAATACTCAAACAGCAAATACTGGCTCAGACATATCCAAGTGGCTATCCCATTCAACTAAGAGACCTGGCTTGCTCACCAAACAGGGATGTGGCAAGCACAAGGGAGAAAAAAAAAAAAAAAAAAAAAAAAAAGAGTCTTTTCCATTATCTTATGTACAGCATGAAGCATACACTTTAACTACCAAACATTTTAAAGAAACAACTTCCATAAGCAGTTAGCATTCAATTCTTAATCCTTGTTAGAGAAAGAGGGAATAAGCATTTACAGTACAAAACACAGTAGGCAGATTTGATTAACTACAGCTGTCAAATTCAGACAAATCAAAGTTATGCTAGGACTTCTGCCTTTCTATGAGGAAATACAGGTGGACTTAACTTCAAACATTTCTCAGTGGTAAGGTTTGACAGTCTGAGGATGCAAATGCAAATTCACATTCTTATGAGTAAAAGCTGGACTGTTACAACACTCAAGTTATAACTGCCACATTTTTGGTATTTAAGGGTACTGCTGTTTTGACACTTGCAACAATTATCCTTCCTCTGTGAAGAATTAAAAACAAAAAAAAAATCAGCAGGTCCTAAACTCTTCTACTGGTGCCCTATTGTCTGAGGCTTTGGAAGAACACCCTTCCCACTCCCTCAAAAATAGAAATAAACCCAAGAAAACAAATAAACAAGAAAGAAAATTACACCTCTGAAAAACAGCTGTACGTCACTGTCCTACCAGATGGTTTACATGCAGAATTGTTACCTCATGGCTAAGCTTAAAATGCTATTATTTTTAAAATGGGAATTTAGCTGAAACAGGAGATTGCTGAAAGCAAGCTACTCAAAAGAATCAACCTCCTTTAGCTATACCATTCCACATACTAAGTCCATTTCTTCCGAGCCCGCAAAAACCAAAAAGGCATCCCATAGAAGATTTTTAGACACATGATGCATTGTCATTCCAACTGTCCTGCTGAACTACTAAAGACTTAGTCACACATTCACAAGTAAAAAAAAGTGGCAAGTAAGGTTAAGAACCCATATATGCTACTACCCACTACTACAACAACAAACAAGAGGCCAAAGCTTGTGCCTCCTTCCTAGAGTGAACCCACACAAAGTACTTGTATGCCTTTAGTGATCAACATCATGACCAATGTTAACAAACGTTTCTGCCAGCTACATTTTTCTCACAAGAACTCCTTGTTTAAAGTCTGTAGCTCGAAAACAATTTTATCACAAAAGGACAGATGACATCACACCACACTTCCTTTACTCAAAGACAGTAACTTTAAATTTGGCTAGTAGCCTTATAAATACATTCACTTTTCTAATATGACTTTAAACAATGGTTTAAACGTGCAAGAGTTGAAACACTGGTTTAAAGTTGACTAATTAAGCAGGTTCACATAACCAATCAACTTTTGCACATTCCTGGACACTTTGAAAAATAAGCAATAATCACAGCACTACAGAAGGAGCCCGAGGTCAAACTTTGATGCTGTTCAAAACAATTCTAGAAATACACTACGGGAATTTAACTCCAACTGGATATATTTGAACTAACTAATTTCCAGTTCAACTATAAGCAACAAAGAAATCCCAAAAAAACCCATCATCTATGTTCACAGAAGCATTAGGTCACATATGTTTATGCAAGTCTAATCAAAGGAACATGGAAACTGAAAAATACAAACATTAAAGTAATGCTACATTATGTAAACCTAAACAAAAGGGCAATTCACGTATTCAAATAAGAAAAGATGAAAGTAAAATCAGCTCTTTTTATGCCTTTGCTATTAAAATCCACTGTCTTTATGCATTGGTAAGACACATCCAGACACCTAAATACAGTTTTCCACACTACTTTACAGCTAAAGATATCTGAATGTAGCTACCGTGAACTATAAACAGAATGGTTTTAGTCTTAAAATCTGCAAACATCATAACACACAAGGCACAAAACAGTAGTTTCTTCCATTCTGAAACCTATGCATTTGGAAAGACAAGTTTACTGAAGTCCCAACTTCCTTTAAAACATAAAACCGTCTAAGAAGTACAAGACCACAGGTATCAGACTACCCAAATTATCCTAAAACATATTCAACTAGACCCTAGCTTTTCATTAAATGCACAGAAAAATTACTACTCTGAATAACTGAAGACAAGTGCTTACCTTCAATCCTTTTTAAGGCCGACAGGCAAGTATCCCGGCTTGGAAATTCAAACGGATTATTACAGGTCCGAATGGTGTCACATTCGCATTTCCCGTTGATTATGTTACAACCTGTTATAAGGTTTTCATTGCATGGTTCAAATCCAAGAAGCTGATCATCATCCCAGTTTTCATCTAAAACAAACAAACACACTCACTCACTATTGGATTTCGGCTGCAGTATATAAATTCACCTGCTTTGGAGTTGGCTACAATTTACTTCAAGTTCAACATAGTCCTAAACAGAAGATAACAGATTTTAAAGAAGAAAAGGATTAATCTAAACTGTGGAATTTGCCAAATACCATGTTTCGCAGCTGTTCTATTGCCCATTTTGTTACAGCTACTGGCATTGTTTACTTCCATCTGTATGAAAAACTATGATGTCTCAGGGAAATGCATAGCTGTAGTACAAATGAGTGCTATTCTAACTGAAATAACTTTTGCAGATACTTGAAGTTATATTTATCATGGAAGTGAGAATGTTGGACAGAATCTGCAGCTGTTATAGAAGGCAAAATTGAGTCAGAAAGAGAGCATTTTTAAACCCGATTAAAAAATACATCACATAGAATTCACTCCACAGAGATAAATTTTTATTACAAAAATACTGCAAGATGCCAGGCCTCCAATTCTGTGATATGCCCAAAAGTGAGTTTTCCCAGCACTCCTGGATTACCATCCATACTCTAGGAGAATCGCTCAAGCGCATCACGCTCTGTGCTGTCAAGGGGCAGGGGAGATGGGCTGGTACAAGTCTCTCTGCTCAAATAATTCTGCTCCTTTCAAATCAGTCCTGTCAAATACATGTAACTGATGTTCCCACTGTACAGCTGCCCATTTTCCTTTCAGAAGGAGGCTACATGCAACAAATTTTTTTTTTTCTTCCAGGAAGCAATAAATCCAGTCAATCCACAGTTCCATCAAGATGACTAGCTCGAGAATATCTCAGCTTCCTTAAATCAAATGCACATACAGCAACACCCCACCAATGCAGAAGTTCAAACAAGATACATGCTTTTTATGCAAGATTGAAGAAAATAAACTAGGCATTAGGTATTCTCAGTAAAGAGCACCAGATGATTTTTCCAACGTTGTCTAACAAAACAAATACTACAAAATAGTCACACAGATAGTTCACTGACTTCTTGGAATGACAAAAGGAAGCAATATCTATTTTCAATCTTTATACCCTTATATTCCACAGCAGATTTTCACATTATGCCTTCTAGTAGTTCACCCCAATTTTACATACTCTCAACAAGCAAGTTTCCAATAGAGATCCTGCCAAAAAACACTCCAAAAAAGTTAAAGCATGTTCCAGCTATCAAGGGTGCATTTTTTTGTCACTGTTGGAGTTATCAGAAGCTGTCTTCCACTATGGGAAGCCACAACTAAATACAAACTGTCATTCAGTAGTCTGACACTCAACAGAAATCTAAACACTGATAGTAAATTACAGTACATACCCATACACATGCTGAGGTTGACATGCAAGTACTGTCCACTCACAGAAACATGCAGAATACTCCCGAACCTGCAGTTTTTTTCCTATTTTGGGGAAAAAACAACCAACATCTGGAAAGAGTTGTTTACCAGTTAAGTACTGTACATGATCTACAGAAAGTGTCACAACAGATTCTCACAGGTATGTTTCTCCCTGTACAACTAACTCCTTGCTTTCTGTTATAAGTTGGCAAAGTACCCTGCTGACAAAAAGCACTGAATAAGCATCTAAGTCAATTTTAGACATGAAGAAGGGAACCTCCACGGGAACCTCAGAGCTCTTCTACTCCATAAAAATAGCAAGGGAAGAGTAGTCATTAACACCAGGAAGTAATTTGGTCTGTTTTTGTTTTTTTTTCCCCCCCAATTAAAGTTAACCTATCATACCATACAGCAACTATATCAATAGAAGTCAAAAGGAAGTGTAGAAGTTCCTGAAGAGAAGCTATTAAAATTCTTTCAAGAGAAGAAGCCACTTCAGTAATGCCTGGGACACTTTCATCATAAGGAGGCCATGTAGATGGAGAAAAAACAATAAAAAAAAATCATGAGAATCTGGAGAACAATAATACATCCTGTTTTTGAGAAGCCGGAATACAGTCTGGACAATTTGTATTTTACAAATCACAGCAGTAAACCACGTAATGACAAGAACAAAAGAGACTATAGCTATGCTCCAAGACTTGGTGTTTCAAATTTTGTAACCACAGGGACCACAGCTTGATCCAGATTGGTCTGTTTAATGATCTTAAAAAAACGGTTCAAATTGCTCCTTGTTTCTGACACAGAGGCTCTTCTCCCCTATCAGTGTGTACAGGCCAGAAGCTTTGACTGCCCTGACAGCTGCGGGGCCCAGGAGGCAGCAATCCCTCATCCCAGGCTCCCAGGAGCTGCTCTACCAGGAAGCAGAGCACCAGCCTCCCGAGACCATCGCGGGGCAGGCAGGTGGGACACACAGACAGTGATGACAGCACACTCCTGCTTTTCCAGGGCAGCAGTTCAGAGCATTTGTGTGGTTTTGCCCTGTGGTATTTCAGCACTAGATCTTTTCAAGGCTAACAGAGATCAGCAGGATCCCTGTTTCATGAGAGCTGCTCACCCCACATAAGGTGGGACACACCTAGCATGAAAAGCAGAGCCATCCTTTCCTCACAGCAGAATGCCTCAATGCAGATGTAACACACACGATGGCACTACTCACAATATTATCTGATTTCCAGGATGGATTAGTGTTTGATATCTCAACTGCCACCTCTCATGGCTTTTCAGATGGGAACAAAAAGGAGGTACACAAGAAGTGCATGGTCCAGTACTAGGTGCACCTAAAGTCTTCAGTGCCATACACCTCAAATTGGCTCAGTAGCCATTAAGAGGATGAAATAGAAGAGCAATTCCTCAGTAATACTTGCAGACACCTAACATGCTAAATCTCAAAACAAGATATTTTTCATTACATAGTGAATATAAAAAAAGCACATTCAGACAGGAAAAATGCAAATCCAGTCTTAGCCTGGACATCTTTTACCAGACTGCTTTTCACACAGTTTCATTTAGAAACAAGATTTCCATCAATGAATGAGCAAACGTAACAAGAAAAGAGCTTATTTTAGTTTAGTAAATCAATGCGAAGTCTAGCATGATCTTTCATGAAGACTTAAGATTCCCTTTCCTAATTGATTTTGTCCTTTTATGAAGTTAAAGGTCCTGTTAAATTAATACTTCTTTACCACTTAGAGTAAATCATCAGAAGTCACATCAGTATAAGCAGGATAAAATTCCTTGGAATGAAAGGTATGGCCACATGAAAGGACTCACAGGAGCTAAAGGCATGAATCCAGTGTCTCACATTAATTCAAAGCTTTAGTAACTTGATGGAAAGGCATCTAGTGCTCTGCTTGATGCAGATAAATGGTGGTCCAGTACAGCATGCTTGTTCCTTTAGAGGTCAGCAATATTTCAACTGATAATGGAAACGTGTATTGAACAAAGCCTATACTCTGAAGTATATAACCTAGCCTCTATTACTCCAAAATCATCATGTTCTGTGGACTATTCCAAAACACAGACTTTCACACACACTGGTGATTTGAGACACCTGGGACAGCTCATGAACAATTTCAGACTATCGTACAAATACTTTCCTACATGCTCTGTTTGACCTCCTTTGGCTTTCTTTTCAGGAGAGTGTGCCCTTTCATGCATACCTCTCAGAAATCTGGATGATATGAAGGAAGAAATTGACATATAATAATTCGTGAATACTTCTCTGCAAGAAGGGTTGACAAAACCCAAATGGAAGAATCTAAGGAGCCTTTCAGTCCTCAGTATGTGCATCCTATCTGCTAGATGACTTCTAGGACACTTAAAAATACAAAGATCAAGTCAGTGCTTAAGTTTTTAGAAACGATCCAGCTGAAGAGCAGCCCAAGTAGTGTTCATCCAAACTGATCTTGGTTTAGCTGCAGTTTCCCCTGTTCTGGTATGATCAGGTAGGGGCAAAAAAAGGGCCACGCTTTTTAGCAATGCTGAGTTGACATTGGATTGTTATTCTATAGCCACTCAACTACCTTCTGCACACATGCCTAGAAGTGGTTCAAACACTCCTAGCAGGATGATAACTATATCTTGAAAGTCACTCTTTCAAATAATTTCTATCTACATGCAGTTCGACACTCTTTCCAACTCATTCAGGCAAGTTCCCTTTTCAGACAAAGTATTTATTCTGACCAAAGTTAAGTCTTGGACATACTTCTCTAATTCTTCTAGGTGTGCTTTCATACCATAAGGAAGCCATGGAAGAGGAGGCATCATGTTAATTCAAGACTTTTTTCATATTCTTTCAGCATTCATATAATCATTTGCTTTTCTCAAAGCAAATGTTTCAACTTGCTAACAATTCAAGTGCTGCTCTGGGTTGCTGAGCTCCCAAGTCCTGTCATAGGATGCATCTAAGGCAGGGAAGAGGATTAAGGCATTAACAAGTTGAACAAGAGGTCTTTAAACAACAGGTCCAGTCTGGAAAAGAGTCTGAGAAATGTGTCTCTGGTAAGCAGCATTCCATCACTTTTTCTGTGCTAAATCCTACATACCAGCACTCATAACACAGCACCACAGCAACATGCAAAGCATGATGCTCTCAACTGAAGCGTTTATATCTGCTTCACCTGAAGGGCTGCTTTCCAGAAAAGCATGCAGCTATGAGAAACTAACTTGGAGCCTTATTTTTGAAGTACACAGTATCTCATTGTAGTTGCATTTATTGTCCCAAAATGCAGAGGATCATCTCAGAACAGGTGCAAGTTAAAAGTACCAGGAAGGAACTTATCAGAGACTCCTTTTCCATTGCTTAAATTTCTGCCTTTCCTTCCTTCATGTTCTCAATTCCTTCTGCCTTCCATAGAATCTTCTCCTTTTTATGCCCCAACCCTTCTCTTCCTTTCTGGACATTCAATGAGTATCAGCTATTGTTTGGAAAGCCATATACCGTTTTCCCTCACTGTTTATAGAGATAATGCATCACCTCAAACCAGCAAGCAACACACTGGAATGGTCACTAAAGTATCACTGTTGAAAATTAATATACATTGCCCCAACAACAGTCTCAAATTACAATTCAGGGGTGGGGGGTAAACATGAGTGGAATGAATTGAGTGAACTCCCATAATTTACATCTACCTGCAGCACATTAATCAGCTCTTTCTGCCTTTTAAAAGCATGACAGGCAGGTTCTCAGAATGCTGAAAGAGCAAAGAGACCATTAAACACATTGCTGATCTGAAAATGAAACAGGCAATGTCACATCTTAGAGACTACACATCCTTAATATGAAGGACTAAATCCTGCATTTGAAGGAAGAGAGAGAATGGGTTTCATAGTGTCAGAGTTGAGCTTTCTGAGACTGTTACTGCCATCTGGGAGGGGGGGAAATAATTCAGAAGCTTCTCCATGAAACCTAACCTAAGGTCTGAGCCCCACCACCCCAGCACAGTGGAATACACAACAGCATTTTCAAGTCAGTGGTATTCATTAAGATGGTATGAGACTGTGAAAGGATTCTACAGACCTTCTAAAATAAAAAAAAAAAAAAAGAAGGAAATAGTTCTTGGCAGTAGGCTTTGGCTTCTCTTTGAACAGGAAAAAAGAACGATGGAAAGGAAATTCATGTTTTGGAGGAGCTGAA